ATCTCCAATTAAATAATGAAGAATAGTCCAGCGCATTGCTCATTTTCCGAGGACAGACCTCTCCTCTGTTCCTTTCACTTAATAGAGAGTGGGGGGAAAATGCAGCCCAATTAGAGTAGAGTACAAGATTGAGTTGAGAAAGAATTACTGTTGGGAATTCGAGAAACGTTTCTTAGAACAGTTCAATATTTTGAACATATTGGTTTGGTTCCATTAGTGGTGTTTGAGCAGCTGCATTGCTCTTCTGGAACGCCGTACACTCTGATGCACGATAGTACAGTTCCTACTCCAAAGCTTAAATTTGCCATGCATCTTCTACTGTTTCAGACTCCAAAGGCCTGTCAAACCCAGGTGAGGTGGAGGCGCTGAGAGAGAAGGTCTATGCCTCTCTGGAAGCCTACTGCAAACAGAAGTACCCTGAACAACCTGGAAGGTACAAGAACCACTTACCTGGAGGACCTGGATGATATATATTGAGATGTGATCAAAAATATATTTTTTGAAGAACAGCTTCATACTTCTACACACACACACACACATATATATATATATATATATATATATATATATATATATATATATATATATATATATATATATATATACACACACACACAGTATATATTTATAAGATTTAAATGATATTTGAGATATGAACATTTCATAGCTTCTCAGGTCTTGTCTGACTTCAAAAGTTGTCAGAGTCATATCAAGTACAGATAAAAGAGCTATCAGTTTAATTGTATATCCGTCTTGTTTTTTCGCCGTTTGACTATGTGTGTTTTTGTGTGCAGGTTTGCTAAGCTGTTGCTGCGGCTCCCTGCCCTGCGTTCCATTGGACTGAAATGTTTGGAGCATCTGTTCTTCTTCAAGCTCATAGGAGACACGCCCATCGATACCTTCCTCATGGAGATGCTAGAGGCGCCCCACCAAATGACATAATGACATAACGCCCTCCTGTCGCCAGGGGGACACAAGGGTCTGCCACCCCAAAGGCCCCTTAGAAACTGAACACGTGACACCATTTGCCAGAGCAAAGGAACTTTCAGAACCGCCGCTCAACTCAGCGTTTCCAATACACATTCATGGCGTCCATGGGTCTGTTTTATACTTTGTATAAAGATATAAATATATATAACACATAAGAAAAAAGATAACAATGGAATTCAAGCCCACAGACAACAGTGGGAATGGGTGTATCAAACTATCCTTCAGTTGGTTCATATGAAAAAAAAAAAAAAAAAACGATAGATTTGATCGAGGTGCAGTAATTGTAAGAATTTCTTACGCAAGCTTGTGTACGTTGGGATTTAAGATGAGAGGGATCGAATATGGCCATCCTGGGCTGATGTGTCTGGGCACATGAAGACATATGGGAGATGATAATAATGGTAATGCGGGTAATAATCCGGGTTTCTAACACAAACTTTGTTTTCAGCCCCTGATGGGAGTTTTTGCGATAACAATCCTGCTCAAATTGCCATTTGTCCCTCAAGCAGGCTGTTCCTGATAGAATGTTCTTGTAATTACTGTCATTTAAAAAGTGAGTGCTCTGAGCAAAGGAGCCAATGAGGAATCACAGACCGCGTTCGTTCTCCCACTTCACCCCGAGCATCATCAGTGGTGGGTAGGAGACGCAATAAGGACGTAACTTCAGGATCAAATAGGAAGGGACACTGAGGTCTCGCTGTGAGCAGATCCCAGTGTCTAATGAGCCACTCTGAGTTTTGGACTATGATCATTCACAATTTTTCATTGTGCACTCGAAACATGAGCTTTTAAAATTCCGATCTGCCTGTTCTCACATAGCCCATGATGCTGAAACGTGAGTGAAGTAAACTAAGGACGCTTATAGTGGATATCCCAACGATAAGTCGCCCACATGTCCCAGTGTGTCTCATCTGTATACCAATTCACCTCAAGTGGTTTTCCAAACGAGTTTGACATTTGTACAGTTTATTACAACCAATTCAGTATTGGTGTCCTGTATTTTGTGGATGATTTTTCAAAATGTGTGCCGTTACCTCTCTTTCAGTCACTTTTACTATGGTATATTGATTCCTTTGTGTTCCTCATTCACTCCTGCGTCAGCCTTTCGCATGAGCCATCTCATGCATTCAGGTCTTGCAAATCTGTGTTATCATTAGGATGTTTCTAAGCACTTAACCTCATGTTTCAAGTCCCATTGTTGTGTTTTTGGGGCTGCCTTTTTATTTTATTTTAATTTTTTTATGAGGTATCATCTGTTTTCTGGGCCTGTAATTTGCCATTTTCAGCATTTTTTTTTATTTCTGTATGCTGCTGCTGCTGCTAAACTATGCATTTAGCATCCCCCCCCCCAAAGACTATCCATAGTGAGACTGAGGCAAACTGTCTTGCAAATCTGTGTTATCATTAGGATGTTTCTAAGCACTTAACCTCATGTTTCAAGTCCCATTGTTGTGTTTTTGGGGCTGCCTTTTTATTTTATTTAAATTTTTTTATGAGGTATCATCTGTTTTCTGGGCCTGTAATTTGCCATTTTCAGCATTTTTTTTATTTCTGTATGCTGCTGCTGCTGCTAAACTATGCATTTAGCATCCCCCCCCCCAAAGACTATCCATAGTGAGACTGAGGCCACATGTGAACAAGGTTAGACCGCCAGGACCAAGATTCGGGTCTCCAGCAGTTCGTAGAGAGATACTAGGGGTTTTGCATAGGGAGGAGTGGAGCAGTACTGTAGGGAGTAATACTGAGGCAATGGGAGAGCTGAGACTTCCACCTAGTGGTGGATATGCAGCACTGCAACATTACTTGAATTTTGTACAAGTATTTAATCGGATAAAAAAAATGGCACTTTTACGTGATATTATCAATGTTTGTTTTTGTTTGAGTGCAGTCTCACAAGGGTCTTTAGCAATAGCATGAATTAGATCACTCGAGATGGTTTATCCAGAGTGACGCCCAACCAATTTAAGTCGATACTGTTTATTAGGATGCCTCTCTAGAATTACATTTCTGAAAATCAGCTTTTCGTCCTCTTACCCTCATTTACTTTGCGTGGCAAATGGATTTTATTGGCTTCCCTAGACTTTTTAATGGATGAGTATTTTGGAAGCCATATTCAGGTTTGAGATCAAAAGCTTTCTCCTGTTGGAAGTGGAGTAATGGAGAAATGTTAACCTAGATAGAATTAATACATACGCAAATGCTTTATAACATAAAGTTATATTTTGTCTATATGTAAATGTGTGTATATTTCTAAATATGAAAGTATATGAATCCATTCTTTAAATGTTTCTGAACAATGTTAGTAAGGGAGCCAAGCGTTTTTCCTTAAATTGACTAAAGCCAGGCCTAATTGCACTGTTCTCAGATACTAGAAATGTTTTTAATTGCTGAAGCTTTTGTGTTCAGCCTTGAATTACACACACAAAAAAGGAAATTTTAGACTAATACCAGCAGTTTAGAGCCCTAAGAAAAGATCGTACACCAGCTCCTTGACTTATGAATCATTTTATGTTCACAAAACCTCGAACAAATGTCTCGTTAGTGAAAAAAAATAAAATCTGAAGGAACCTGTTGCATAGCCACTTTTTTCCCATTTAAACTAGTGAGGATAAACTTTGACCCTGACACAGTCACTGCTTCAGTCGTCACAGAGACAGGACCTTTTAAAAACATTGAGAAAATTATAGGGGAAAAAATCTATTTTTGTACAAATGTAATTGTATCCCTTGCTTATATATCTTCCCTTCCTTCCTCTTTCTGTGGGCTGTTGTGTACATTGTGTAAATGTTGATTTGAAGTGGGAACATTTCAAATCGAAGCATTTGAAAGTGGATTGTGTGAGGGATGACGTCAACTCTGACACCTTCACCCTTTTCACATACACTTTGCCTTTTGGTTTCCTCCTTTCGCCATCTCAAAGAGAAGGACTGTCCTCTCATCATATGTTGTCTTATTTTTAAGGAAATGGAAAAAGTAATCTGTTCTACTTTGTGGGTTGTTCTTTGATGTTTTGTCTTTCAATCAAATTAAACGTCTAATTAAAAATACGTGTTATGTCTTGATTAAACTAGTTGGTCCTACATGGGTTAACAAACATTTTCTATGAATTCCCTTTTATTGTGGCCAGCCTAAGGCACACCTGTGCAATAATCATGCTGTCTAATCAGCATCTTGATATGCCACACCTGTGAGGTGGATGGATTATCTCGGCAAAGGAGAAGTGCTCACTAACACTGATTTAGACAGATTTGTGAACAATATTTGAGAGAAATAGGCCTCTTGTGTACATAGAAAAAGTCTTAGATCTTTGAGTTCAGCTCATGAAAAATGGGGGCAAAAACAAAAGTGTTGCGTTTTTAATTTTGTTCAGTGTAGTAAGGAAGTTCTTGCCTCGTGAGATAAAAATAATAATAATGCATAAAGGTTTTATGTTGTTACAGGTTTATCAGAAATTTCCACCTCTGAAGTTAAGCCAACCAGAGTTGTAACTAACACTGGGTTAGGTTTTTTCTAGTACAAATACAATACAATACTAACCCCAAAGGATGTTCTGTCCGAGTAGGCAAGAGAGGCAGTGCCCAACAACAACTCACACACCCACTATTTAGTGAGCAATCAGCTTGGTGAAATCAAAGGTAGGCAACATCACTGTGTCTGTAACCACAATGACCCCTGCAGTGTTTACCGAGCAGCGCTGAAGACTGGTGATCCAAAAGGAAAGGGTTTATTAAAAAGAATAGTTAGACTTGTGTTCAGCAAAATATACATGTAATGTGAAAATTGATACAGCATTTTATACTGAATAATTTGGAGCTTAAAACACTTTGAGTGATAAAGATCACATTGTTCATGAAAACAATTTATTTAAAGAATAATGAATCTAATTACACGACACATCTACTAAATGGTATAGTAGTGCAAGTACAGAACAGAGCATTTTTAAAATATCATTCCAGAGCAGTTTTTCGAATTATCAAAGCTAATATACACACCCTCATAAACATCTGGAACGTTAGCAAAATATTTAAATGTTACATATGTTGAGTTGAGTATTTCAGTTGATCATCTGTATGTTGTTTTTTTTGTTGTGATCATACATCCACCTCCCTTTCCTCACCCTGTTCCCCATCCAGGCCTCTGCTGGTCACAGAGCAAGTGCACACGGTTTTCTCACCCCCTCATCACAAAGCTCTGTTCGAACACCCACTGCTATGATTGGCTAACAGTTCAAAACGCATAAATACTCAGTACATAGCAAACGATCTGTAATAACAGACAAAGCAATAGTGACCATGTAATAAGAACAGTTATTCACGCTTGTGTGGTGCTACATTACTGTTGAATCCAATATAGTCGGCACAGCATTGTCTTTTAGTTTCAATCTTTATGAAAATCTTGCTTCGAATTTTGCCTTGTTTGTAAATGAATCCTCAGTAAAATGAAGTGAACAAAGGACCAGGTTCTTACTAACCCGCGGCATCACACAGCTTCTTGTTGTTTTCTGAGCCATCTTTATCGTTTGGTTTCTGCATAGACCTGTGTTTGCCTCTCTTGTTATTTACACTACATGTGCTAATCGGTGGGCGGGGCTAAACAGGCAGTGATGTAGAAGCAGGTGTTGATCGTCTGTGGTGGCCACACTATTATGTCATAAAGTGGCACATTCCATAACCTGTCGATTTGGCAGATTGGCTTCAATATAAGCTGTTTTTAGACTAATGAGAAAGACATGAGTTCTGAAACTTACATGTTGTTTTTATAGTACAGTGACCTCTTATATGTCAAAAGATCAAGGGAATTTTGATTTCTCAGTCCATGACCCCTTTAAGATATTTTTGGTCATTCAGTGTTTCTGTAAAAAAAAAAGAGAAAAAAAAGCTAACAATAATACTGATAAGATAATAACAATACTATGAATTCTACTACTAATAACAATATAAAACACTAACGATTAATGAGCTACTGGGTTCATGAATATTAATCACGTTGTCTGTGTTGGCTCGAACTGATTTGCTGAAATCAAAACAGGTACGATAATAGGTGAGCGCCAGCCAATGAGATTGTCGTTTGCGCATTAGTTCCGCCCACAACCGAAGAAACCGGTATCTTATGGTTCTTAAAAGCTGAAGAATTCCTAATTATCTCTGTTATTTTTATAGGAAAATACAACAAAGAATATTGTTTACATGTAGCGCGTCAATTCTGCATGGTATGTACTCTCTCGCTCTCTCTTTTTCTTTGCGTGTGTGTGAGAAACAGTGCTCTCAGCAAAGCGACGTTGAGTCGTGCGCCTTCACACTTGAGTTTACGGTACGTCAAATACAGGTATGCTGTGCATCCATAAGATATGCAGATTGCTTGATGAAGAGTGAAACTCGTAAGCTCTCAGAATTTATTAGGGCTAATGTTAGACATCATTTAGTTGCCCAGACGAAGATTTAGTCGCATATGTGAGTAATTTACTCGCATTGTAGAAGGTTGCACATGGACATATGTGACTAATCAGCTCTCTTGTGAAAACCTTTAACAGAATGCCAGGATTTGATAAGTCGGTGCCTGACTCGTGCTCCTGCAGAGAGAGCAACTTTAGAGGAGATCTTACATCATGAATAGTTTCAGCAGGGACAAATGCCAGCAGTAGCTCAAGAATCAGTGTAACATAGGGAAGGCAGAAGAGAAATCCAAAGTCGTTTTTTTGTGAAAAGCAAGCAAGCAAGCTTAATTTTTTCGCTACATTTATTCATTCAGCAGATACTCCAAATCAGCCACAGTGAGGAAAAACAGCACAAACCACATAGCAGCAGAGTTTCAGAGGGCCAAGCTTAGTAAAACAATAAGCAGCAAACTTGGTGCACAAAAAGGAGAAGCAAATTACTATAAAAGAGCAAAAGTAGTGCACAAAGAAAGACGTTACAAATAGAAAAAAACTCGGAAGAGCTAATCTAGTGAACAAAAAAATTAAAAATTTCTTTGAGGAAGTCTGAAACAGACAGTTTAATGTAAAAAAAAAAACACTTGTACACAAAGCAGAGAAAACTAGTGCAAAAATGAGTAGTAACAGTGCAAAATATGAGGAAATAGAGGAGCAAATTTAGAGACTGTTCCTCTGTGCACTTCATAAATCCAGTATATTTTTTTATAACACACATTTTACTTCAAACAATGAACAAAGTGAATCGTTTGTAATTAAATAAGAACAAGTTACAAATAAAATAAGGTTTAACAAGTGTATTCAGATACAGAAATTTAATTAAGTGTAAAATAACACTGCATAGTGTTCACTGTATAAATGAAATATAGATTAATCTTTGTTAAAGCTGTTTTATTGTTGTCAGATATTTATAGGCTGCTCACTTTAAGACTGAATGCAT